GGGTGCACAGGGAAGGACGAGTAGCTGCAAGGAGAGCACTGGTACCTTGCTTTGAGGCGCAGAGCCAACACCTCCTTGCCAAAACCATCCACGTCCACCACCATATCACAGTCATATTGTCCCACGTCATTGGAACACAGCGTGACCTGGTGGAAGAGAAGAGCAGTAAATACTTCCCTTCTCCCAGAAGCTCATTACCCATGTGTGGTCTCCTCCAGTTCCTGTTTTGCAGTAAGGAAAGGGAGGATTTTGCCTTAATTCTTCTGCTGGCCCATGCGTAGAGCACAGTCTCTGGGAGGAACACAAGCCTTCTGGCAGTGTTGAATTTCTTAAACACACCTTGCAGCTGTCAGGGCATAGGTGGCTAAATTAAAGCATTATTCATAATCACGTATAATGAGACTAAAGCTCTACTCACCACTGTCTTCAAATTAGGGGCCCATTTTTCATTTGACTACAATCACATAAATGCAAAGGAAATGGGTTGACTTGGACAGAACGAGTCCAGCTTTTCAGCAGGAAGCTGAGAGCAAAGTGTGCTCCTGCAGATGCTGGGCAGTTCATGGCTGCCGAGTTTTTTCTTTCCTCACTGGGGATCCCTGCAGTGACCACAACTCATTCTGCTCCCCGGGAGAGGAGAAATGAGACCAGGAAGAAAAACAAACTACTTTATACAGTGGCATCTCTCTAACAGCCACCTTCTGTCCTCATCCTTCCTCTGCCTGTTCTCAGTCAAAGAAGTCACGCTCAAAACCAACACACGAATGGCTTCTGTTGACCATGTGATCTCAGCTTATGATTTTGGAGACTAAATGGTGCTCCTTCCGGAACATTCCAAGTAACCCAGCTCCCACACCAGTGCAGATCCCTCCCTTGCACACACTGAGAACTGGCAGCACTAAAGCCCTCCCACACCCCAGTGAGGTTTCAGCCCCACCTACTGACCCATGTGTGGCCAGACTCCTCCCATACCTTGATCTCCTGGAATCCCTGGGCAGGGATGGTCCCTGTGCTGGGTGTTATGGTGAACTCCCTTGGCTTCTCCTGACATGGAGCCAGTGTGCCTTTTTCCCAGGAGGGATGAGTGTTGTATTTCACTTGGTCAAAGCTGGAAAGGCTGGGCTGTCCCTGGCCGTCCTCAGGGATGCGAAGATGGAAGGTGATGGGCACCACAGAGGTGTTGATCAGGTGGCACGACAAGGTCTGAGGAAAGCCTAGGAAATGACACAAATGGCTGAGTAGGCACCAAGCATCTCGTGATTTCTGGTGTGAATGTCCTGGTAGGATGAAACTGCGCTTGGAGTTTAGCTCCTTGTTATCTGAATGACAGCTCATTGAGCAGCTCAGCTGGCAATGAATCGTAACTTGGACACTGGTCTCAGGTTGCTGCCTTGGAAATGCCCACTCTTAGCCCTGCTGAACACCACAAGTTTCTCCCTCTGTAACTGCCCCAAACCAGCACCATCAATTATTTCTGCACACTGATGAGTGTGCATCCAGATCGACCATTTACCCTGAAAACTCAATCCATAAAATTCCCTGTTAACGCTGCCAACACTCCCACCATTTTCAAGATATCAAAGCACTGAGTTGTCATTGGGGAGAAGCTACAGCAAAAGAAAGGGAGGATGGAACATGATGCAAAGCACCCCAATGCAGTTTCTTTAGGCAGGATCCTTAAGGTATCTCCTGGCTTGGGGCAACCACGTACAACTCACAGCCCACTTCACTAGAGGCAAACCTGAGGCTTGCTCTGAGATCAGTGATTAGAAACCATGTCTGTCTTATCCGACAAATGGGGACATCACAGCCACACTGCACACTGGCTGTGATTGCTGCCCACAAGAGCTGACACCACCTTAGCTCTGAGAGTTGCTTCCCGTAACAGAAAGCCAGGGATACAGCCACGCCTGGTGGGGGTGTCCTGCAGAGCCAGGACACCAGCCCACAGCCTGCTCTGCAGTGGACAGGTGGCTTGGCTGGCCAGCTCCGTGGGGTGGAGACATCTCCCAGGGCCTGCTTACCAAGCGTCACTTGAACCCAGATGGGGAGGAAAGCCAACTGCAGGCACAGCAGGGAGCTTCTCCGTGCCCATCAACAGGGACACTGCCCAGCTCCAGCAGTGGCTCCAGCAGGGAGGCAGGAGGGGCACAAAAAGGACAAACACAGGTGTCCCAGTCCGGAATGAGACCAAGGTCACCAGATGCAGACAACAGCCAGCAGCACAGTTAAAAGAAGCAAAGATACAACAGCTGCCTTCAGCTGAGGCGGTCTTAGGAATGAAATCAGAGTAAACAGGATGAATCTCCTCTAACAGAACAATATTTGTGCCTGCTGCCTTTTGTGTTGTTTCATTTATTCAAAAGGAAACTAAGAAGGGGCTCAGCAGTGATGGAGGGGAGGAAGCAGCTCAGGAAAGGTAATGAGTTTTTTCTTTAAAAGTCCATGAACTGCATGAAAACACAGAGGCATCGTGGGTGCAGAATGATAACGGCCCTTCAGTCAATCCATGACTGATTTCACATTTAAACTGTAGATCATCTCAGTACAAAGCCTTTTGTGAGCCTGAGATGGAGAACTAGAACCAGCATTTCAATGGCAACGCTCTGGATGTTCAGCCAAAAGCTCTGTCAGCAGAGCTGGGCTTCTCCTGGGGAAGAAGAAGAAGAAGCCCACGGCTCTGAGGACACAGGTGCCTGAGGCAGAGCTATGGCTGGGGCATCTGACCTGCTCAGGGATAACGAGGTGCCCTCACACCACTAATTAACATCCCACACTAAAGGTACATGGCTTAAGCTCCCTTCTCCTGCAGTCCCATCCCCTGGGCCCTCCTGGGACGAGGACTTTTACGGTCGTTCTGCTGGCAAGGACTGGGAGATTGGAGCAGAAGAGACTACGAGGGACACCAGAAAATACTGACTTTCTATTCCTTTGGTCCTTTCGGATCTCACGATGGCAAAATGCCATCAGCAGCCCTGGAGCTAACACCCTGCAGGCTGCCATGGAAGAGCACGAGTGACAGATGCTCTTCTGTTCAAGTGCTCCATTTTGGCAAGGCACAGATCCCTCCTGCTGCGTCCA